GTATGTCTTTTTGTAAACAATGTGAGCTGACAAATACTGTCAGGCGAATAATATGTCTACGAATTCGCTTCGAAGTTCGCTCATGTGCATTTCGCTTTATAAAGTCTCAATAAGTTGCGCGTACATCTTCACTGGTATGTCTGCGACGCTAATAGATGGCACTGACTGTCATAGTAAAGCTTCTTGCATATAAAACTCAAGGAATGCTCGAGCTATGATTTTATTTGATATCATCAGCTGTTTGGAAACAGACAAAATTTTACAACAAAACAAACTCATAATTTGGAAATATTCTTTCCCTTGAAATACTAGTACACACACAAAAATATGTACTGAAAATCGAGGTTAAGTGTTTTATTTTCTGAATTCGCACCCAAAGTTTTTTTGCGAATGGAGAAAAACATTTTTGGTATGTTAAAAAATGTGGTAAGTTCAATTTTCTTATGTTTTCCATCAAAACTTCTGATTGAATTTTGGAGTACGTGAATTATTTCCATTAGCACACTAGACACACACAAAATAAGGCTGCATACTTGAGCACACAACTACACATAAAGAATCGTTTGCTACGCAGAATTAGTATGAACCGCACACATTCGCTATGTAAATGTTGTACTCAGCTGAAGCACTACATTCGCTGTGCGGTTCATACTAATTCTGCGTAAAAAACGATTCTCTATGTGTAGTTGTGTGCTCAAGTATGCAGACGCAGAGCTTTATTTTGTGTGCACTTTGCGTCAGACAACTCCGAATTGATATTTATTTTTACACCTTTTCAGCCCGTCGTTCTGAACGCATTCCAGCTGAACGACTAAGCGATTGTAAAGTAACGTTCAAAACAATTTACACAAAATTACAAAACTGCGAATTTTTAAGAACGATGCATAAGAAAAATAAATAGTCTTACCTCCGTAAGACGAACTTTTCCGCACCGTTTTCATAGCGTTCAGCTTTTATTCAGATTTTGCCTAGGATATTTATGAGAATTTTCAGAAAAAAACAACAGTACGTTCATGTATTTTATGGAAAATTGGCTTAAGATTTACCTCTCTTTCAAAAATGCAAAATAATCAAGTATTGAAAAAACTGAACTTTAATCAAAGAACTGCAAATCAGTCAAATATTTGGAGAATGAACTTTGTAATCAAATCAAAAAATGTGGACGGAAATAATAAGCTATCTCGACAAAATGTTTAATAAGCAAGTTGAATGAACTGATTTTTTTGTTTCTTTTTTGATGAAATTAGACAAAAGTTACCAAACCGAAATCAATTGGTCATTATTGCGATGCAACATGAAAACAAGTATCCAAAAACTTAGACAAAAACAAAAATGAGTGTATTATTTATTGTGGAAACAGCTGTAGTTCATTTGTTCCGTATATTCTTTTGATGTGGTTTCGTAGTTCGCTGGTCTTTTTTAAATTGTCTGTTTCGTGCTGATTGATTTTTAGATGGTATGTTGCGGGGTTGTGTCCCAAAATGATGGTTGTGGCGTATGCAATCGAGAAAATGCCACAGGAACATCCATCTGGTTGCAACGTTGCCGGTTCGATGAATTGATATTGTGTTCCGGGGTACAGGCGAGTGAGGATGTTTCGTTGATACTAGGTTGATATACGTCCAATCTTTTGCCATGAATGCCCTCCCCGTGTAGACTGTATATTGAACTGTGGTGTAATGGCCAAGAAAGCTGGCCTGGCCGCTGATATGTTATTTGCAGATCGTCTCGTTCGGCTAGAAGTCGTTTGTATCGCTCTTGTTTTTGTCCATAGCGGACTGGATGCATGTCGAATGGTATGTTTCTGTTTGCGTTCACCAAATTTATAATGAACATATCGATTGTCAAATCATTTAAGAATTCTGTTCCAACAATTTGATTTGTGATTGATTCTAGATCTGTATTCTTTGTAGTTTCACACAAGTCTCCGATTTCGTAGTAAAATCCATCCTCTTCCAACTCGGGAAAATCCACATTGTTGAGAATAAATGAGACTTCAGAGGCGCTATCACATTCGCTATCAGAATCACTATTCAATACCGATTGGATGCGAAAAAAAGGTGGGTTGGCGGGTGCTAGGTTGTTCCTGGGCCCCTATTATTTTGATCAAATAAATCGAGTGGGAATGATAAAATCCACCTGGCCCATTTTGGGCACCTCCCGAACAAAAGTTCGATTTTTCAAGGAATTTTAAACTAACATACCGATTTAATACCAAAAAGGTGGGTTAGCGGTCACTAGGTTGTTCCTGGCCCCTATTATTTTGATGAAATAAATCGGGTGGACATGATAAAACCCACATGGGTAACCTATTTTGGGTACCTCCCGAACAAAAGTTCGATTTTTAGAAGGTTTTTCATAGGCTAGGTATCCTAGGGTACATCTGGGGTGGCTGGAAATTTAATGGTTTCCAAGTCTAACGAAGTACAAACGTTTGGTACTTGCAGAATTTCGTTTCCTATTCTGGTATTTGAGCAATCGTGCTAACAAATTTTTGCGTACAGCGTACAGCGCACAGCGTACAGGGTACGACACACCCACATTAACATAGCAAAATAACCACTGTATCGTGCTTTTTGGTGTCGAAAATGGATAGAAAAATGGTTTTTCGGGGTACCCAGGTTTTGGAGTGATTACAATACTTTTACTCACGACATGGGCGTGCGAAAAAGTAATAAGATAAGATTTGATAGAGTATGTTCATTTTTCACAAGAATATTTGAATTTTTACTGATTTTTTTTTCATATTTTTTAAAAAAGGTGATCCAAATACCCGGACATTTTATTTTAACGTTACCAGGAGGATATCACTCTGGATTTAACTTTGGTTTTACCGTAGCAGAAGCCATCAATTTTGGATGTTACACTTGGCTGGAACATTTCCCCAAATTCAAAACCTGCAAATGCAAGTAAGTTTATTAATTGACTAGCGATTTTTCAAACTATAGCGATTTATTTTCCAGATTTGATGATATAGAAGGTATACCGGCTCGCAATGTCCAGTTGTTGCAGCAAATTTTTGACCACATTCGACAAGAATTTCATTGTAAGAAGTGCAATAAGGACTTCACATCAGCTGAAACTCTAGCGCAGCACGAAAAGCTACACAAGAAAAATCAAGACATTTTTGTATGCCCAGACTGCAACGAGTCCTGCTCTACACCGTACTCATTGATCGCACATGTAAGGGATATTCACCATAAAACCATCGAATTGGATACGGCGAAAGATTGCAAAAGTTCGGTGGTCATATCAACAAAAGGTAAATACATATAAAGAATTATATCAGTCAAACTAAATAACCCTCTCTTATTAGTTTCAAATAAGGAAAAAATGAAAAACGCACAGAAAAATCATCAAGTTAAGCCGTCATGTGCATTGTTTGTGGCACAAAATTCTCCAGAAAATTTAACCTAGAACGTCATGTGGAAAAAACCAAACATGTACAAGAAAAACCTGTACAAACAGAAGGCGAAGAGCCTTTCCAGCCAGAAGTCGAGCAAACAACGCACGAAGGTTCGTTCATTTATGTTGTAAATTTTCTGACTAGTAATTAGAAGTAGAAAATTAATCCAAAAAATCATCCAATATTTTGTGCCAATCAATACTATTTTCATTCTCTGCAGTTGAAGTTGTAACGGGATCGCACGACAACGAACAGCAGCAAAAGGACATGACTGAATTCGGTCTATTGAATTGACAACGTTCTGGAGATTTTAGTCAAGACCCAGAACGTAGTAACAAACTATTGAATTGACAACGTTCTGTTCCAGATCGATACTTACTAATGTTTTTCCGCATGACGGCGGACCAACGATGATTACGATGTTCATTTTATCGAGATCCCAGTTCAGAAACTGGCCGATCATTGGTACAAAGACCTTGTGATCGTCTGGGAATTGAAACTGAATCCAATCTCTTAACACATCATACGAATCCTTTGGAGACATATACGAATTTACGTTTGTAGTTGTTCTAAAACATGTTTTTGGGGTAATTAATTTGTGTCTAAATTAGACAGAAGTAGGGGAGAGGTTTGTAGGTTGAACCATGATGTGCTATTTTGTCCATAACATTTTTTTAAATGAAGATATCTTAGATGTATGGATATCGTTGGAAAGAGGATCTAAAGAGCTCACACTTTGCCAAAGAAACTTATCCGATTTACTTGAAAAAGACATTTTTTAAACCAATTTTCTTCACAGGCTTCAAATCGAGAAAAAAAAATTTGGCTTGTAAGTTGAGCCACCCTAAAAAAATCACTTAAAATGTGACAAATATCATCCAAAGACGCCTGAATTGCCAAAATTTTAAATTATAGTGAATTTTCATATGTTCTAAGGGCTTCAGACACAAATATCAGTGAAAATAGTATGAAAATGAGAAAAATCCTTAATATCATCATCCAAATCGTAATTTCACTGCAATATATTAAAATGCATTAAAATTGATTCTTTTTCCGCTTCAAACAGAAAATAATCATAAAAGAAGTATCAAAATACAAACTCAAGTAAATAACAATGGTATTTTGCCTACGTTTTCAGAGGTGGCTCAACTTACATTCTTGTAGACATTTCAAAAAAGTTTAGGAAAAACAATTCCATATCACGATATGTTTAGAATTCTCTTCGGGTTTTGAAAATGCAATAAAAATAGAACACAGCCATATGTTCAACTTTATCTTATCGATGAAAATCATTCACTTTATGGATGTCTACAAATTTTGCAATTTTTATTATTTTTCATCAAATCACACACTATGCTCGTATGAGCCATTTCTGAAGGGTATTTTCGCTCGGAAATGGCACCAAAAGTAAAGTTTATTTGCTTAATAACGACGACTGTTCGAATTTCGGTATATTTCCCTCTCAAAATATAAAATATCATGGGTGGTTCAACTTACATGCCGGCTCAACTTACAAACCTCTACCCTAATATATCAGAAAGAGTTACATTTTCGGCCATCATTCATAATTTTAAAAATCCTGTGGAATAGAAGATGCAGATTCCGGGCGTGGTGACTCAAGTGTTTCCTCTGAAGTAGCTGATGAACCTGGGGAACATTTACAAATCGGGAAAGAGTTTACTTTCCGTGTTACAGTATTGCAAGCCACTGGAATATCACCTGAATTCGCTGATATATTCTGTCAATTTAAGTATGATGCAATATACTTTTTAAAAACCAGCTTGTATAAGCTATGATTTCTTATTCTATAGTTTTTTGAATCGGCATGAGGAAGCTTTTTCTACCGAGCCTGTGAAGAATACTGGATCTGGTGCTCCGTTGGGTTTCTATCATGTTCAAAACGTGAGTAACATAACGTTTATCGGTATCCGAATGGAATGCAGAAAAAAAAATGCAGAAACCCAAAAACGCAGAAAAAAAATTTGCAGAAAAAAAATTGCAGAAAGAAAAAATGCAGAAAAAAAAATTGCAGAAACCCAAAAACGCAGAATGAAAATATGCAGAAAAAAAATTTGCAGAAAGAAAAAATGCAGAAAAACAAAATGCAGAAATCCAAAAACGCAGAAAGAAAAAATGCAGAAAAAAATTAGCAGAAAATAAAAAAATGCAGAAAACCAAAAACGCAGAAAAATTGAAAAATACGACTTTTTCGAAAATTTGTTGACCACAATAGATTTCACAGTCCACAGATTTTTTACGCGTGTTTTCTTAATCTGGCACATCAGCCGAATAAGTTCCAGGCGATAGTTTAGGCCGCCCTGAGTTCATAATAAGCCATGGTTTTGGGTAAAGGTGCTTCTGCTGGGAATTAATGACCTTAGGCGTTCCCACATTTCAGGAAGAACAAATTTCTTGATGAAACTTAGTTTTTACACCAGTACTCCGGTAATTATTGGTTTTTTACCTATCTATTCAAGAAGTAATTTGTTCAGACGATCACGCAGAAGCGATACTGTACTCACAAAGCTACAATATGTTTCAGAAAATGGGTTGAAATGGGTAAATTTCGTGGAAAATGAAGAAAAATGGTCAAAATTAGTTACCGGAGTACTGGTGTAGAAACTAAGTTTCATCAAGAAATTCGTTCTTCCTGAAATGTGGGAACGCCTAAGGTCATTAATTCCCAGCAGAAGCACCTTTACCCAAAACCATGGCCCATTATGAACTCAGGGCGGCCTAAACTATCGCCTGGAACTTATTTGGCTGATGTGCCAGATTAAGAAAACACGCGTCGGACTGTGAAATCTATTGTGATCAACAAATTTTCGAAAAAATCGTATTTTTTAAATTTTTCTGCGTTTTTGGTTTTCTGCATTTTTTTCTTTTCTGCTAATTTTTTTTCTGCATTTTTTCTTTCTGCGTTTTTGGGTTTCTGCAATTTTTTTTCTCTGCATTTTTTCTTTCTGCAATTTTTTTTTCTGCAAAATTTTCTTCTGCGTTTTTGGGTTTCTGCATTTTTTTTTCTGCATTCGATACCGGATTCACGTTTATCATAGAAAGCATTTATCAAATTCATGGTTAAAATTAATTATGTTGTTTTTGCGGAATAGGTTTATTTATTCATTGACACAGCCGAGTACTACTAAAAATCCTGATCTTTTTTTTCAACAAATTCAATGTTTGCATCTATTACAGATAACGGTTCCTGTTTCAAAATCTTTTATTGAATTTTTAAAAGTACAGCCGATAACTTTCAAAATATTTGGCCATTATCAACGTCACCCTCTTCATAACATCGCGAAACAAGATTTTCAAACGCGTCCTCCTCCCCGCCGTATGCTACCACCAAGCATTCCCATTAGCCAACCTGTCCGTAGTCCTAAATTTGGTCCGTTACCATGCCCATCATCGTTATCTTCGACAGTATTAGCCAAACATGACATTTTAGTTTGGTTCGAAATCTGCGAATTAGCGCCAAACGGAGAATATGTACCATCAGTCGTTGAACACAGCGACGACCTTCCATGTCGAGGTTTGTTTTTGATTCACCAAGGAATTCAGCGGCGTATACGTCTTACAATTGTACATGAACCAACACAAGAAGTGAAGTGGAAAGATATTCGTGAATTAGTTGTTGGTGAGTTCAGAACATCATTGACGCATGTCTATCACTAGTATTAAAAACAAAAAATATATCTGTAAATTGAACTTTATTTATTCATCATAAACTCTCATTAATTTTCATTTCGAGATTATTGTTGTCTTGTTCAAGTATTTTTTCAAACTTTATTGTTGTAGATGACCAACAGTTGATTTGATAAATAAGAGAAACAATGTAAATTTTTTCTATATCAACAGGTCGTATTCGTAATATACCGGAGCCTGCTGATGAAATTGATGACGATTCATGCGTTTTGTCGTTGGGACTTTTTCCAGGTATGTTGTTCAATAAACATTCCCATTTATCTTATTGATTTTTACGTTGTTTGAATTCGTTCCAGGAGAAATACTTGAAATACCTGGAGATGATCGGTAAGTTGATGACAGGGAAAAGACACATTATGGCATTTGGATGTGACCTTTTTGCAACATTACATTTTGATTGATGGAAAATGAATCATATCATAAATCAAAATTAAGGTGAGGTCTCACGCTATGGCAAAATTTCATATTTTCATACTCCGGTATTACATTGTATACATACAAAGCGAGGGCGCACCAACATACCCAGCATAATTTATCGTGTGTATTTCATGGAAAGGTATTGCAGAACTTTTTATTTTCGTCTGTTTGCAAACGGAATAAGATTCAAGAACATACAATTTATTTCTGTTCGTCAATTTAGGATTCAAGAACGGACAATTTATTTTGTCCGTCCGTTTGAGATTTTTTTATTATTATTCTGCACCATACAGCGTTTCTTCGCCAGAGGTGGTTTATTTGGCATAAATAAATCTTGTTATATTTACAATATTTGCAATGGAATAATTAATTCTATTTGACTTTACTCTCTCCAAATTCTGTTTCTCTT